TGACACCATGCCCAGCACTATGATTTTATTAAGCATGAATAACCTAAACATTTTTTATAAATATTCCAGTTTCTCCCTAAAACAAATCTCACCAAAAGAATATTTCAAGTATAAACCTGTATCTTTCATTTTCCTTTAATGATATTAGTTATGCAATCAATACATTTAAAAAATTTCCAGTTAACATAAATTTCCTAAAACACTAATAGCTTTTGTTAATAAAGAATGGTTAGCTGGGTATGGTGACGCATGCCTGTAATCCCAGCACTTGGGAGGACTGCTGAGAGGCTGAGGCCAACTTGGGCTCAAAAAAAGAAGAAAAGAAAAGAAAAAGAGAATGATCAATATAGGATGCTGTATTTATCCAGAAAGAAAAACATCCTGAAATGTGTGTCACTCAGAACTTTGTCCTAAGCGTTTTCTAAAAACCATTACCCAGTGCGGGCACCATGGAAAGCCGGGCCTTGGGTTTAAGCCACACTCAGGCCCTGGCTGCAGCTGGGTCTCATCTGCATGCACAACACCAGCAGCGACAATCTGGTGATGGTGGTTGTGTTTTCTGTTCTTAGCACCAAGAAGGACCAGGAGCTGAGGGAGGCTTGGAGGGCGTGGCTGAAGACCCTGGGCCTGGGGGCTGGCATTGCCCTGGCCTCGATCCTGATCTGGAGCAGCCTGGGGGCCGATGATGGTGTTGCCGAGGTACTGGCCCACCGTGGCGAGGTCCTGGAAGGCAGGTTCATTGAAGTGCCCTGCTCTGAGGACTATGATGGCCACCGAAGATTCGAAGGTACTGTGCTGTGGATCCCATGAGGGTTGAGAAAGGAGAAAGGCTGACATGAGATTCAGCGTTGCCTTTTGCTTGGATGAATGGGTGGAAGTCAGGTTGGAAGTGGTATGTATGGGCAGCGATATTTCCTCCCCTGGGTATGCCAGCCCACACCTGGCATGGGAGTGCAGCTAGGATACCACCAGGTGTGGTCAGTGGTTTAGCAAGTGGTGGTGTCCAGTGACAAAATAAGAAAGATGAGAAGAGAAAGTTGGAACCTAAACGAAGAGGATGTCAAGAAAACATGATGATTTAAATGTCCCTGGTGGAAGGCCCTCCCCATCATGTGTCCTGGGCCCCAAGTCACAGCTCTGTGCCCAGTGATGGATGGCACTGGATAAGGCCAGGAGGAAGGAGCCCTAGTGCCAGGGCCACCAGGCTGGGACAGGGCTGGCACCCTGAGCACACACCCTACACTGGGCACCTGTGGGCTTCTCTGGCTGCTGTATGTCCTCAAGCATTCCACACCACCAAGCTGCACTCCCGTTTTTAAGGCCTAGCATGTGCAACTGTGTTTTTAGAACAGAATTCATTAGTTTTTTTATTCAAAGTGATGCTTTGGAGTTGAACCAAGGAAAGATTGCCAAGTTCTTCCACCAAGGGGCGCTGTGGTAAAGTGCGGAACTGGGAACCCAGCACACAGAGAAGAGGAAAGCGGCAGGGCTGTGTTGGCAGGGTTCCCTTGGAGGAAGGGCCTTTTGGGAAACAGCTGTGCTCCTGTCGTGTGGGCACTCTGTCTCCAGACCTTTCCCGGAAACGTCCATGCTGGCTGGTACTCGCTTGCTTGCGCCCTCTCTCTCTCCTTCGCTCCCTCCCCTCCATATATTTTTTTATAAGATGATCTTTCTGTGTTGCCCAGGTTGGCCTAAAACTTGTAAGTTCAAGTAGTTCTCCTGCCTCAACCTACTGCCACAAAAAAATACTTTCCTGATAGTTTGTACTAAGGACAAAATCCTCTCTTGCTCAATTAATAATTTATCAACATTAGAAATATTGTTTAATGGGACAGGATTTCACTTGGCAAGATGGGAAGCCCTGGGGAGGGACCATTTGATGGCTGCACAGCACTGTGTGCGTGCATGCAAGTGTGTGTGTGTGTGTGTGTGTATGTGTGTGTATGTGTGTGTATGTATACTGCCTTCAAACTGTGCACTGAGAAATGGTCAGGGTGGTAAATGTTACGCATATTCCATAGTAGAAAGTAAGGGAATATGTAAAGTCTGTAATCTCTGTGGGCCGCCACCCCCCCTGCTTCCCTCCTCCTGTCCCCTGGGCGAGCAGAGTGAGGGTGGACTGCTCACCTGTTAAACAGGTCCCTAGTTTGGGTGGGTGGCTTGTCTTGAAAGCCCCCTGTCCAGGATGGAGGCAGGCAACCCTGACAGACTGATCCTTGGGAGTGTGTGATTGCAGATTGTGCCCACAGACATGACATCATCACCTGCTCGTGACCTTTACTGAGTCAGGCTCTCATGCCTGTCCTGGCGGAAGCACACTGTTACTGTTGGTTGGTGTTGTGATCCTTGCTGTACCTCTGCTTTTTGTGTTTTTTTGTGTGTTTTTAAAATTGTGGTACTGGTAATTGAACCCAGAGCATTTGCATTGAGCTACATTCCAGCCCTTTTTTATTTTTTTATTTTGAAACAAGATCTTAAATTCCTCAGACTGAGCTTGATTCTCCTGCCTCAGCCTACCAGAGGGCTGAGATTATAGGGATGCACCACCTCACCTAATAGAAAACATACACCTGGCCTTTTGTTTTTGAAGTAAAGCATCTCTGTTGGTAGCATTATTTTTTTTTCTTTTTTCGGTACCGGGGATTGAACTCATAACCTGTGCTTGCCAGGCAGGCCCTTATGCCACTGAGCTATATCCCCATCCCCGGTAGCATTATTGAGATGTGTGTAACTATGGCCCTCCGCCTGATGAAACAGTCAAGAAGAAGCTTGGTTTTCTTTCTTGAAAGGAGCTGTGGGCAGCCAGTACCTGTGACCCCAGAGTCTAACCCCTAGTGTGGTGCTGTGGCTTTTATGCAGATGTTCTAGGGCAGTGGCAGCACCCTCTGGCTCCAAGTTCATTTCCAGGCAGGAATCAGGGGATAGGGGTGGGGGATGAGAAGCAAGCAGCAATTCGGCTAACCCAGCGTGACCCAGGGCAGTCACAGGTTCCCGTCTCCACCAGGATGAGTGAGTTCCTTTGGGTTGGGGAGCAGGTCTGCCCTTTGTAGCCAGAATGCAAGGGCTGGTCACTGGCTGGAGTCACCTCTGATGCTATACTGCATCTAGGCTCCTTCATGTCATAGCCCTGACCTTATCCACCATGCCCCCACCATGGCCCCCTTCTCCCGTCCAGCCTACCCTGGCCCTGTCCCCATGTGAGGTTTTCAGCCTCCTTCCTGTTTGTCTGTAGATTCCTGGGGTCCAGGGAGAATGAAGGCACAGGGTGCCCAGGCTTTTGCCCCATGGAGGACAGTGGCTGGAGCTCCATGCCTCTCTTTGAGTCCTAGGAGGAACTCCCATGGTGCGCACAAGCTCTCAGAGCTGCAGCCAGCACTTTTAAAGGGTGCTGGTGGTGCTGGGTCTGGAGGCTTCTATGGCTTCCTGGGAGCTGGGGCAGTGAAGGGGCCTCTGAGGAGCTGTGCTGCTTGTCTGGAGTTCACATCTTACCAGGGTATTGGCCGCACTGGCCGACTCTGTCCTGTGGGAGGGCCATGCAACCCCACAGTCCCAGAACAGTAGCTTTAGAAGTAAGCCTTGCATCTTAATTGTCATCCCTGTAGGCTGCACGCCCAGAAAGTGTGGCCGCGGTGTCACTGATGTTGTCATCTCCAGGGAGGAAGCAGAGCGCATTCGCAGGTAAGGAGGCTCAGTGTTCTGCTCTAGGCATCTGTGGGTCAGGTTTAAAGTAGCAATGGGAGAGTGGGCTAGGGCCTTACATCCCATGAGGGTACCTCCTGTGCTTTCAAGGGCAGGGCAGGTGTCCATGAGATGGGCCAGGGCCCTTGAGAAGCCCCTGCTGATAGAACATTCCAGACGCTTGACCTGAGCTCCTCTCTGCCCAAGGACCCAGCCCACTCTGCAGGAGCCTGGATGCTGGATTGTGGTACGGAGTTGTGCTTCCCAACCTCAGCCAGCAGCCGCACAGACATTTCAGTGTCTGCTCTGAAGCAGGTGGCTTTTGTCCTTTCACTACCCTCACCAAGGTGCACAGATGCTCACTTGGAAAGCAGTGGGTGCTGCATTTTTCCCTGTTGAGATTTTATTTTGTTTACTTTTTTTTTTTTGAGACAAGGTCTCCCTCTACAGTTCAGGCTGGACTTGAACTCACTATGTAGCCCAAACTGGTCTCAAATTCACAGCAATCCTCCTGCCTCAGCCTTCCAAGTGCTGGGATTACATTCGTGCAGCATGTCTAACTATCCTGTTGAGATTTTTAAATTATGATCTTCAAGCTTTGGTTTTTCCCACCAGCTGGTTAGACTCTGGTTAAATGTGTGGAATTGGTTTGGGCCTCGAGGGGTTCCCAGGGGCATGAGCCTTTTCTCATGGCTGTCCTCTCTGGCAACACTGTCCTGTAGGCAGTGGGGTTAGGGTGTTTTACTGAGGGCCTGTGTAGCCTCAGTGTTCATCAAAGCTGCTCGTTCTTGAGCAAGGTGGTCCTCACTGGCCTGACTTGAGTGTCTCCCTGTCCTGAGTGGGGAGGATCAAAGCCCCCACCCCACTGGAGCAGTCTGGCGCCACTGGCTGCTGACCATGTTCATGCTTGGTATTGAAGTTTGGAGTCCAGTGCTTCTAAGCTGGGCTGCATGTCACAGGCGAGAAAGTGACATGATGCCTGTTTGCCTGGCTTTGAAAGCTGAGCCTTCAGGTGTGCAGGTTTGTTTACAGAGCAGAAGCAAGTAGCTTGACGTTACTTATGCTTATCTGTGTTCTGCCTAGACACCTTCTAGATGACTCTGTTCACTGCGTTCTGATTTGTGTTGTTTTCCCCCACAGAGTAGCAGAGAAGGGGCTCTCCCTGGGCGGATCTGATGGAGGGGTGAGTTGAATCTGGCTTCTGCCTGTCCATTTCTGCCTTCCACCCCTGCTGCCTGGAGGGGAGGTGATGTGCATGCAGGGCCTTTGCTGCCCCACCAACACACAGCCTGCCTGACCTCAGGTCACATGGTCATATTAGCTGCTCCAGGTGGGGAGATGGTGGCCAGGAAGGTGTCAGTGAGGGAGCTGAGGGGGGATCAGTAACCCAGTGAGGCACCAAGGACAAGTCCTGGCTACAAGAGAGCCTGAGGAGCTAAGAGGAAGGCTGAGCCCGAACCAAGCAGAAGATACTCAGATGCTTTGTCACCTGTAAGCTCCACAGGCACTGTGGGCCTGTCACCCACAGTGGGGGTGCTGTGGGCCTGAGTGGTGTATCCATCTGGACTCTGCGACTACGACCTGATTCAGGTAACCTGATCTGGCTAGTGTCATGGTTGCTCTCCTCCCAGGGTGTAGGGAAGGACTTGAGGGTGGGTGGTAGTTCCTTAAAAAGTTATGACTTGGGGATTTCACATGAGGTCTTCACCAAGAGCCTTGAGAATATACATAAACTTGGCCTTATGGCTAGCGTGTGCAGAGCCCCACTGGCCCCAGACCCAGCCAGAACCACTCTCTGGCCTTCTTATAGGCAGTGGATGCCGGACAGTGTCCCTCACCTCACACTAGAAAATGTGACTGATCCCCTGTTCCTGGGAGGTAGCTGCAGAGAGGGATGTGAGGAGGTTCAGGGTGAGATTCAGTGTGAGGAGATTCATGATGGACACATTTATGGTCTGACTATGGTTTCATGGGTGTGCCCATGTCAGACCTACACTGCATACTTTCTACACATGGTGTATCATGCCTGTCCGTCAGTCCAGCAGAGCTGAGAGAGGTTGGGGTGGGGAGATGAGGGAGAGAGGGAAGGAAAGGTACAAAAGGAAGGTGGAGAGGCCTGTGGAGGCCTCTCCACAGGCTGCAGGAGGCACAGTGCCTTTGAGAGCCTGTCTGTGCACAGTCTCCAGAGCCCCAGGCCCCTTCTTCAGGCATCAGAGAGCAAGTGGTTTTGGACAGACCTGGGACCTCAGTGACTTGGGTTTAACTTGGGGGGCTTTGAAAGCAGTGGTCACCCTGTCTTAGCCCCCACACATCTTTTCTAGGCATCTATTCTGGACTTGCACTCGGGGGCGCTATCTGTCGGGAAGCACTTTGTGAACCTGTACAGGTGAGGGGCGGGCCTGAGAGCAGCTGAGTGAGTGCCTGGCGTGTTCTAGGCCTCGGATGTCCAGAGGGCTGAGGGGATGGTGGCTCCTGGTCAGGGGCAACGGCTTAGGTGAGCTGGGGACAAGTTTCTTAGAGCCTATTCCAGGGCAGGGTCCTTGTCCTTGGTCTTTAGGGGAGACTCTGGTGTCATGTTCTGGGCCTACTGTGGCCCCTGGGATGGAACTATAGGAAGAGCTCAGAGAGGGAGGGCAGAGGAAGCCTGTGGGCTGCAGGCTGGGCTGCCAGGGAGGTCTGAAGACTTTCAGGTGCTTGTGAAGGCTGAAAAACCCTCAGAGATTACCCAGTTTTTTTCCTTTTTTTTTTTTTTCTTCCCTTTCGTACAAATCCTTCATACTGAGCTATATCCCCAGCCCATTCATTTTTTATTTTTTAGACAGGATCTCACTAAGTCATTAAGTTGCCCAGGCTGGGTTTAAATTTACAGTCCTCCTGTGTCAGCCTCCCAGAGTGCTGTGATTATAGACATGCCTGGCTCCCCACCCTCTTATGGCACAGGAATTATGGTAGAAGCTGAGCAGCTCTAGGATAATGGGATGAATTCATTTTTAGGGGTCAGCTGTTTTGTTGAGGAAAGACTAACTTTAAGGAAACAAGAGATTAGTAAAATGTTTCATTGGCTAATGTTCCTTATCTTTTCGCAGATACTTTGGGGATAAAATACAAGCTGTATTTTCTGAAGAGGACTTCCAGTTGTACCGGTGAGCAGCAGGAGGAGGGGTCGGGGCAACCAGAAGCTTCTGGCTTCCTCTGAGGCCACACCACACCGTCACAGGGGGTGCAGACCAGAGTGGGCTGGAAGCCAGCCTGGCTCCAGGTGGGTCTCAGCTCTGCAGTAGCACCTGGGTGGCCCTGGGGCCTCTCTTGGTGAGCCCAGCATCTACCTCACGCCAGGGACCTGTGTGTCGGGCACGGCCCTTACCTAGAGGTGGGACACCTGCTGAGGACTGTTTAAAATTGAACTTTTCATTTAGAGATTACAAGGTATGTACCTGTTACTTACCCCTGAAAGTACAGCAGGGAGATCCCAGCTTCTGCCACCCCATTAGCTCGACCACCAACACACTGCCCAGCTAGCGTGTGACACCCATCCCCACAACAAGCATGGGAAGAGCCCAGAGGTTCTGTGGGGTTCTCAGCCTCGTTGCATACATTCATGTGTGAACGCCAAGTTCTGTGTAATTTCACACCAAATAAGTTGTGTATGAACTGTGGTGGAGATACACCATGTACTGTCACTGTGAGGGCCCCTCCTGTACCCTTCAGACCTGGCCTTCCCAATGAGGGCATCACTCACCTCTGCCCACATCTACCCCCACAGCTGACATGGCACCCCAACACGTCTCCAGGGAAATGGCTGGTAAGCCCAGCCTGGTCAGCCGTACATGAGGAGCAGCAGCAGTATGGTGTTGCTCAGTGCCACAGTGTGGTGGAAACTCACTCATTCAGGCTGTTGTGCAGGGGTAGGGCCAGTGGGGCCTTGGTTGCTGCTCTCAAGGGCTCCACCTTGTGCTTAGCTGCGCTGAGCTGAGAGCCTGGCCGTGACTGTCCCAGGTGACTCTCTGTGCAACATTTTCTCTGGCTGACTCACTGTGCCTACTGCTGGTGTGTACATGCTTGCTCACAGAGAAAGTGTGTGGCTATATTTTGGTATGTGTAAGCTCAACAGTTTCTGAAACATAACACGAGCACCCAGAATGAAGGAGAAACAAAGCTGGATTTTATGTCCTGCTTGAATATTGTGGCTGTGAACCTCCTGAGCTGCAGAAAGCAGAGACGGTCCCGCTGTGGCTGCAGCGGGACCAGCTGTGGGTCTTACACTGAGCCAGGGCTGCAGTGACCAGGAATCAGTGTGAAAGGAAGGTCAGCGTCTCCGGGGTGACAGGAAGTGAGGAGATCATCCCTGGGACATGAGTGCTACTGCAGAAGTGTGCAAGAGGATTAAGGTGGAAAATGCTAAATGCCAGTTTCATTGGGTTGTCTAAGATGTTCTGTTAAGATTAGGATTCAGATGAAGATCAAGGAGAAAAAAAGGCAAGGATGTTGCCAATCAGTCTCACACAATAAAAAATTTGAAATAGTTAAAGCTTCCAAAAATATCAGTGTTTGTAAGGCAAATGGAAACTTACAGAGCTATAATTAAAAGCAATTGAGTATTTTTAGTTGTGAAAATAGTATTTCCAATGCAGAATGCCGTGTAATCTCCCTTATAGCCTCCACAGCTACAAAACATTAAGAGAAGCAAGAAAGAGACTCTGCAGGGGGATTGGGCAAGCCAGTCTCCAGTGAACTTCTCACCCCTCACAGAGGGTTTCAGCAGTTCCCACAATGCGCTGCCATGACTCTATATATCTCACAGAGCTGAGAGGAAGCACAGAAGTCCTCATTCCTTGTGGTTCATGTTGGGGAAGAGCATCTCAGTGTGAAGCAATTGCTGGAATCCTGGGATTGCTCTGTGGTGATACTGGGGAGTTTAGCCTGGCCCTGCGTCACTGGATGCTGCGGAGAAGGTGTCCTCCACTGTTCGCCGAGTGAACATCAGAGAGGACTTAGAAGCCCCACAAGCAGAAATTGCAGAAGTGACAAACAGAGGATCATTTTTGTTCTGTGGACAGTCTAGAGTGCTGGCCCCTAGGGACATCACGATGGGCACTGAGGAATGAGGGTTCCAGGATAGCAGAGTTCGTTAAGGTTGGCTTCTGTTTGACAAGTTGTCAGGTGATTGCACCTACAAAAGTAAAAGGAGAGATTTGAAAAGAAAAAACAAGGGCCTATTATAGAAGTGGAAAATGGGCCAGGTGAGAGACACATACTTATATCCCAGGTACTCAGGAGGCTAAGGCAGGAGGAGTGCGAGCTTGAGCCCAGCTTGGGCAATTCAGTGAGAGCCTGTCTCAAAATGAAAAAGGCTAGGAATGTAGCTCAGTGGTAGTGTGCTTGCTAAGTATGCATGGGGCCCTGAGTTCAATCCCTAGTACTGAAAAAGGATCTAAACGGTATAGTGGTGCATGCCTATAATCCTAGCACTTGGGAAGCTGAGGCAGGAGGATCGCTGTGAGTTCAAGGCCAGCCTGAACCACATAGTAAGACTCTATCTCAAAAAGAAAAAGAAAATGATCTGCTGTTTGGAGCAAAACAAAGTATTGGTTAGAACTATTAGATTGTCTGATGCATTATGTGAAAGTGCATTTGTTTGATGACAAAGTTGAAGACTACCACAAATTTTTAAGTTCCTTCAACTTGCTGAACTCTTATTAAATGCTGTTTGCAAAGCTTTAGAATTTGTACATGACAAAAATCAGGAAAAATAACATGCTGGGCGTTGTGGCACACACCTGTAATCCCAGCACTTGGGAGGCTGAAACAGGATTCCTGTGAGTTCAAGTCCAGCCTGGACTACACAGTGAGACCTTGTCTCAAAAAAAACCCCAGCAAAATACACGACATTTCCAAAAATAATTTCTCTGCTTCTGTTGCTCTCAGAGACACTGAACACACATTGCACCCGACTGAAGGGTGGAACATTTTGAATGTAGCTGTGAGTTCAGCAGAAGCTCCCTGAGGCTAGGTGTTCAGGAGTGGAAGGAGCCAGCGAGAGCGCTGGACACCGGCTGTGAGTGAGCCTTGTCTCATGGTGTTACAGAAAACAGACCAAACATGGGAAGAAACAGCACCAAGGAGCCTTGACTGGGATTTTTCCCAAAGAATCAACCCTGCCTGGCAGGGTTCTGGGGCTTTTATGGGGAAGGCGAGAGGGGAGGGACAAAGGCAGATTTGGCGCATTGTGATTGGAGGGGCAGGTGACATCTTGGGTTGCTAAGGGAGTTTAAACATTTCAGGTTACATTACAAGGTCATAAATGATACAAAGGCAGTAAAGACAGGGCTTACACAAAGTAAGAAATGATCTGTTGTCGGGCCTGCTGGACATGTCTGCTTGGTCTTGGTGGGCACCCTGGCCAGGCTTTCTTGGCAGGCTTTAATTTAAAATTTTAATTTTCCCGTTCCGTGGCAATGCCATTTGGTCCTTGATGCCTGTGTTGAGGGGGCGGGAGTGGTTTGGAAGCATTCAAGTCTTGCATGGGCAGTCTGGCTCGCACTAGATCACTTGGCAGTGGTTTGACAACTTGGCTTGATATGTATTTGCACGTATGTGTAGGTATGCATGCAGGTAGGTGTATAGGTTAGCATGTGTGTGGTGGGCACAGAGGCTGGTACTATGCTTGCACAGAGCATTACTTTGTGTAATTGTGTGTATCGTGCATACATGTGTGTACATGTGTGCCTCTGGTATGCATGTAGGGTTACATGATGTGTGTAGGTATGTATGTAGGAAGGCATGTATGTATATAAGAGTGTCCAGGTAGCTTGGTGTATGTGTGTGCATCTGTGTGCGTGTGTAGATGATATGTAGGGAGGTTTGTAGACATTGAAGTGGTCTGGGTTAGTCTTTCCAGCCCTGCTGCCCTGCACACCAGCCTCCCGGAACTGGCTCCTTAGAGCTTCCTGGGGACCAGCTCTGCTGAATTACTTAGAGCATCCATGCTGGCAGCTACCCCCATGAGTCTGACGTGTTGCATCTGTGCCAGTCTCCAGAGACATGTGCCCCGGTCTGCAGAAAGAGGCTGCCACCCCCTGTGGGCACCACTCAGGCAGAGCACAAGTGACCTCCTCAGGTCCCGGGATGTCCTGGAAAAGTCGCTGAGGGTGCTGTGGTCATCTCACCTGGTCCTTGATTCCCACCAGCACATATTTGGGGATGTGTGTGCCTGCGGGCCGTCATTCTGGCCCCTCTGGTGTGTGTAGGCCCTGGGCACCGGCGGAGTACCCCCATGGGCGGGTCCTGAGTGACGCTCCACACCCTCCACAGGGATGTGCGGTGGAAGGTCCAGCTCACAATCGCAGAGGCATTCGGCATCAGCGCATCCTCGCTATACCTGACCAAGCCCACGTTCTTCTCACGCATAAACAGCACTGAGGCGCAGACAGCCCACGACGAGTATTGGCACGCGCATGTGGACAAGGTGAGCGCCTGTGGGGCTCGTCCTTCCTGTGGGCAGCCATGGCTGCCATCTCTGCCTGGGGGGTCCAGGCCTCTGCTCGGTTGTGTTCATGTTGAGAATTTTAGAGTCTTCTTTTCTGGGTTTTAGGTGCACTCTGAAATGAGGAAAGGTTGGTAAGAGCAGGCAGCCAGGTGCCCTTGTCACATAGCCTCAGCCTCACTGTTCCCCATCCTTTGTTGTTAGCAAATGGATGCATGATCTCAGACTGCATGAGCAGGGGGGATGACTCTTGACTTCCTGGCCCAGGACTCTACCTTCCTACCAAGAGGTGTGTTCTGCCTACTTTGTCTCTTTCTTTCTCTCTCCTCCTTCCCTCCCTTTCTTCTTCTTTTTCTTCTTCTTGTCCTCCTCCTCTTCCTCCTTCTTCTTCTTTCTTCTTCCTTCTTCCTTCTTCCTCTTGCCCTCTCAACAAGTCCCCTTATGTAGCCCAGGCTGGCCTTGAACTTGTGATTCTCCTGCCCTCGACTCTTGAGCACTTGAGACCACAGACTAGTGATGTGCGCCTCCCTGCTGGATGCTCTTGTTTTTCCTTCATCCCCAGAGGCCAGCTCTGTTCAGACCCTGGGGGATCCCACCATACCTGGTCACAGATCTCAATCCTCTGTGAAGCTCTTCCCTGCCGTGCTGTGAGCTATGGGGGCCCTGCCTAGTGTCTAGCAGGACTGTGAGAGAGGGTGTCCTCTGCCCTGTGCTGTGGCCTGCATCCAGCACTCCTTCCTCAGTGTGCGGTCACGTTGTCATGTGGTTTGGGGGTCCTTTGCCATGTCTGGGGTGGGTGGGCATTATGAGGGTTGGAGTAGGGTCAGGGTGCTGGACCTGCTTTCTCGAGCTACTTGCTTCACCGCTTGCTCTGCGTGGTCTCCTGTGTGTGTGGTGTGTCTTGTGTTCTGCTTTTGTCAGACATGAGGTCACTGCGGAGGCTGTCTGGGAACGTGTGCAGGTGGTACACAGGGCTTACTGCCGCCATGTGAGGGGGTCCCACAGGTCCTAGGGTCACGCCTGCACTCTAGAAGCATCCGGTGCTTACGTAGTCCAGCACGCAGCTATGGGAGGTTCACAGGTGTCTCCCTCATGTGGGTCCCCTCTGCCCCTTCCTGGTCACTCAGTCTCCTGTCATCCTGTTAAGGGAGGACCACTGGCTGTCAGGGTGACAGGTGGGGGAAGGTGTTGGGGCAGGGTCTGGCCTGGCTCCAGCAACTCGTCCTGTGGTACCTGCTGGAGCCAATGATGTCATAGAGGGGATCTGCACCCAGCTGGGCACAGAGGCACTGGGAGCCTGAGCCTGACTCTGTAAGCCCAGGAACCCAGTCATGGGGGGAGAGGGGCAGGACCCACCCCTGGCATGATTCTTCATTTGTGCCTCAGACTTGCTGAGTGAATGATTCACTAGGCTGAGAATGGCAGCAGGAGATTCAAATTCCACATACGCTGCTCATTACTGTTTTTTGCGAATGGCAGCCTGTCTGTCTGGTATTATTTTATGAATGAGATGGTGCGAGCATTCTTGCATGACCCCCCTGGAAGCACCTTTGTGAGGCACAGACTCTTGGTTCCTCCGACCCAGTCACAGCTTGGTTTTAGCCAAACCTTGGATTTATCACTAGGACCACTCCTTCCCAGCATCTGTCATCTGCAGCACTTTCTGTGGTTCTGTGGAGATGTGCAGAGGTCATTGTCCCTGCTCTGACTTTAGTCACTGTGGACTCCTGCTGAGGTCCTCTGTTCAGAACCCAGACCTTCCTGCTGCCCCCGCACCACCACCTGCCTCGGAGCAGCATGGACCTCCTACTCTTCTCCCTCTTTCTCTCTCTGTTTTTGGAGACAGGGTCTTCCTATGTATCTCAGGCTGGCCTCAAACTCACGATCTTCCTGCATCAGCCTCCTGAGGGCCAGGGTCACAGGTGTGTACCATGTTGCCTAGCTCCTGTTTGGTTTTTTTCCCCCTGGTTTCTATGGAACTGCTGAGAACTTCTGCCCTTTCAAGGAGAGGAGCATGGCTACGGCAGCTGCTTCAGTCTGTGTCCAGCATGTCCAGGAGGCCTCTGCAGTCCTCCCTGCTGTAAGCACCAAAGGCCACTAGAATGGTCAGTGTCAATCCCAGAGCCCAGAGGCCAGCTGGAGCGGCACCATCTCAGGGGGTGCTTTCCCAGAAACCTGGTATCTCATTGAGGACCCTGGTTAACACCTCCCTGACTCCCCACTGGCCTTGGACACCCAAAGCTGCTGTCAGGCTCCTGTGGCTGCACTGTTCATACCAGAGAACGCAGGCCTCTCTGGGCTAGTTCAGAAGAGTTGTGAAACAGGCAAATAGCAGCAGCAGGAGCAGCAAATCCTGGGGAAGGGGGAATCGTATTTCTAGAGGTGCCACTTTGTTTTATTTAAAATTCTGGTTTTCTGGCTGATCCTGGTGGTGCTTACCTGTCATGCAAGCACTCTGGGGAGGCTGAGGCAGGAAGATTGCAAGTTTGAGCCCAGCCTGGGCAGCTTAGTGAGATCCTGTCTCAAAATAGAAATTAAAGGGCTGGGGACAGCCGCACAGTACCTCCCTAGGAAGTGTGAGGTCCTGAGTTCAAGTCCCAGTACAAGAAAAGAAAAAAGAAAAGGAAAGAAAAGAAATGAAAAGGGGTGGTGGGGGGAGGGGAAGGGAACAATTGTAGATGTAGCTCAGTGTGAAGGCCCTAGGTTCAATTCCAAGTACTGGAAAATAAATAAATGAAATTCTAGTTTTCAACCAAAATTTATACATTTCTATAAATAGTAATTCATTGCTAATACATGTTACAACATAATGAATGTTGGACACATTATCTGCAGTAAGTGAAACCAGATGCACAGTGCCAGGCATGGTGTGAAATGGATTCGTGGTTTACAGGGCCATGGGACAACTGGGCAGTGGCTGCTTATGTGTGGGGCTTCCTTCTGGGGTGATGAAAACATTCTAGAATTAGACAGTTGTAATGATTGCCCACTGAATTAGACATTTATTGATTGGTTGGTTGATTGTCTTTTTGAGACAAGGTTTTGCTATGCATTCAGGCTGACTTTTTTTTTTTCTTATTTTAAAGAATAAAAGAAGGATAACATAATAATAGGGGGGACTTAGCAAATTACAGACAAAATGGTAGGAAATTATCAATGGTTATCATTTTACATATTATTGTCTACAAAATAGTTTCTCAGGCAAACAAATAGACAAATAATAGTGAGTTACAGACAAAAGAGGTAGGAGATTATCAAGAGTTGTTGTACTATACTTTGGTATCTTCAGAGTGGCTTCTAAAGAAAATAGAGCTATACATGAGTGACCTATTGAAAAATCATTAACTATTCTCAATGGTTGTTGTAGGAAACACATAATAATAAACATACATCCATTTATGAAATAGGATAGGAACATTACAAACTTTACACAGTTATGGATAGATTAGTAGGAAAATATCAATGGCTGCTGTAATACGTGGTGGTATCTTCAGAGTGGTTTCTCAGGAAGACAGAGATATGCAAGAGGGACCTATTAAGGAGTTACAGCCTAAGGGTTGTCAAAAATAGCATATTACCTCCTCACCAGTGACTCCTTTCACTGAGGTATGATGGCTGGAAGGAAGGCCAGGATTGAAAAGAAGGACCGAGGGACTTGCACCTATGTCTAGCAACAGGCTGTTTTCTTGTTCCTCCATAGTCATGATTACCCAGGGCTCCTAGATGGAGATGACGGTCTGGCCAGAGGGAGAAGGCAGACCATGCCCCAAGCCCTCTCATTCCTGTTGGACTAACTGGTAGCATGGGTCTGAGCTCTGGGGCCTCCACCTCAGAGGGCAGACCGATCTCCAGTGGTCTCCTTTGCATCCAGGGCATGGCCCATGGGGCCTCTTAGGGCAGTTCCTCTTGAGGTGGCCTGGCTTTTAACAGTGGTAGCAGATGAATGCAGTTGTCTAGTTCTTCTTGGAGCCCCGGGAATCAGACCTGGGATCTGTTTCTCTTAGTGGTGCAGCAAAAGCAGCTGCTTTTTCTCAGTCTCTTTGTTTTCTCTCCTTGGCCTCCTCCTCATCATGGCTATAGAATACTGAGGAGGCAATTCTTACTAACATCTCAAGTGAGCTATCTGGGGTGAAAGCCATTCTTTATAGCTTTTTCTCTCCAGCTTCCCATTGCTTTGGGACCCCACAACCAGTTAGTGTCCTCTCCCCAACTGTCAGCACAGTCAGCAGGAATCCTGCTGCAGACTTCTCCGGAGCTCCACCACAGCCTGTACTGTCAGGGGAAGAATGGCTTCCAATGAGTCTCTGCAAGTATTGTGCAAGGTCCTCCTGGTTTACAGCTTCCGAGCGGCTCTGGGGACCTCAGTCCACAGGACCTCTGACTCCGTGGGCTTGCTCTGCATTCTCATGTTCTCTGAGTCCTTGTTCAGCAGCTGCTCCTCCGCTGACTCTGGACCTTTCTGGTTCCCAATGGCAGGAGCAAGAGTGGCCCGTTGTATGGCATGCATTCCCAGGGGTTGTTCAAAGTTTCAATGATTCACACGCATCCGTGGGTGGGCAACTGCTGTTGGTGCATGGTGGGCCATTTGTGTCACTGTTTCTCTGTGTCATGATAGATCTCAATTGAGCGGCGGCGGCCGGCCTAAGGGCCAGCGAGCAATAGCGCTCGCCGCCGCATGGCCCACCCTCCGGGAGCCAGCAGGCAGGAAGCTAGCCAGCCAGAAGACTGGCGCTCCCCGCCCGAGGCTCCCTGTGCGCCGGAAGTCCTCCGTCCGGGGGACGACGAGGTCGGGAATGACTCGCCGGTCTGAAGACCCCAAAAGACCAGCGCTCCCCACCCGAGGCTCCCCGTGCACAGGGGGCCCACCCTCCGCATTCAGGCTGACTTGAACTCACTTTGTAGCCCAGGCTGGCCTCAAACTCACAGCAATCCTCCTGCCTCAGCCTCCTGAGTGCTGGGATTGAATTAAACATTTTTAAATGTTAAATTTTATCATATATGGATTATATCTAAAGTTTTAAAAGTATGTTTTAAATGGAGAGATTGAGACATTCCCATTAAAACAGAGAATTCCTCACTAGCAAACCTACCCTATAAGGAATCCTGTAGAGGATCTTTGGGCCAGGAACAAAGGCACGCCACCAGGACGGGGGTCCGTGTGAGAGATGCATGGGTGAGCAGAGGAACCACACAGTGAGTGTGGAAGATTTTTGTTTCTAAGTCATTTTTTTCTTTTATCTGAGTTAAAGGACAATTGCATAAAGTAGTAATTATGTCTATGTTGACAGACACAGTGTGTGTTGATGGGACTTACACAACAGTAACAGCAAGAGAAGGAAAAGGGTGAAGTATAGAGGCACAAATGCTTATATAGCATTGAAATTAAGTTGGCATCAATTTGAACTAGGTTGTTATAAATTAACTTGTTATTAACATCTCTAGGACAACTACTAGAAAATAATGAAAATAAGCAAATAAAGTAAAAAGTAGGTGATAGGGAAATTAAAATAGTATACTAGAAAATGTTTAACACAAAAGAAGATGATAGCAGGGGAACAGAGGAAGAAGAGTATATTTGTAATCAAAGCACTCTGGGAGACCGAGGCAGGAGGATTGAAAGTTTGAACCCACCCTGAGCAATTTCATGACTGAGTAAGAGCCTGTCTCAAAATAAAAAGGGCTGATGTTGTAGCTCAGGGCAAAGTAACGCTGCAAGAAAAGAAAGAAAAAAAAAGAGACATGAGAAATCTAGAAAACAAGCAGCAAAATGTGAGATGTGAGGTATGATTGCTTGTTTCTCAGTACTGTGTGTATGTGGATTAAATGCTCCAGTTAGAAGGTAGAGATTGGCAGTTTGGTGATTCCAAAGTCTGGGTCACTTTGTGGTTGGCATCTACTATTTGTCCTTTTCCTGGAGAGTTGACCATGCTTATTGGGTTCGTTGTCCATTAAGCCTTTGAGCTGGATCCTGGACATGCTGAGGGTGGTGAGGCTCGGATCCTGCTCAGCCCCTTCGAGATGCCAGCTGGATTACCTGCCCACAGCTTCTTCTGCCTAGGACTCGGACTCAGCCCTGCCTCACTGCCAGTGGAGGCTCCTGAGTCACTTTAGCTTGGGGCCTTCACTGCCCTGCTGGCTGGCCACTCGCCCCTTGTGAGGAGTCCATGCCATGGGTGGCAGCTGGGCCACACTAAGGTCTCTTTGGCTTTGCTCTGGTTCTTGAGTTTCTTCCCCCTGTGAGCCAGAAGTAAGGCTGAGTGAGCCAGAGGCCCTGCTGGTCGGTGCGCACAACTGGGGACCCCTTTCCAGCTCCTCTCAGGGACTAGTTCCACCCTGCTTGGCCCCCAGAGGCCCCTCCTGTCCTTTCTGTCAGAGCCAGGCCTCTCTTGGCTGTCTGTGCAGTGACAAATTCCATGAGACTTGGGATCCTTCAGGATAAAGCACCAGGAGCAAAGAAGAGGAAGAGAAAGGTCCCAAGTGTCCAGGCCCCACTCCTTCCGGGTTCTGGTTGGAGGGTGTTCCCGCTGCATGGCTGGCATGGCTGGTACAGCCCCCTTTCAGGTCCTCCGCTTCCAGGTCCTTTCCCAGAGTCTCTCACCCCTTGCCACCCTCATGTCGGAGCCGGCTGACTTGGAAGCCCAGGAAACACAGAGCCTTACTGTGTCAGTGCTGTCTGCTCTGTGTGGCTGCTGCTTTCCAGCCAAGTCTGGGTGGCATCTGCGGCCCTTTGCCCCTGGGCAGGGTTCTAGGTACGATCGAGGTGGGATTGTCTTCAGGCAGCCTGCTCTGTGTCCGTCCTCTGCCATATGGAGGTATACACAGTAAACCCAACAAGCAGAAGAGTCTACAGACTGGGGGTGCTTTCCGGCTGTCTCTCCTTCCCAGGGGCTGAAGGCAGGAGGTTTCCGCTACCCGGGCGTCCCTGCGCACCCTCACTGGTGTCCACCTGCACAAACAATGGCCTTGCAAGGGGCAGGAGGACAGCTCTCTCCTGGCTCCCTCCTTTCTGCCCTTGCACCATGACTAAATTCTACTATCAGGGAGCCAAGTCACATCTGCTGACCCTTCTTTTCTTCAATCCTTCCTTCTTTCCATCCACTGATTGAACTCAGGGCCATTGCACTAAGCTGCATCCATTTTTAGTACCTCTCCCCACTAATTTTGAGGCAGGGTGTCATTAAATTGCCTGGGCTAGCCTCACACTTAGTTTCTTCCCGCCTCAGCCTCCTCAATGAGTGGCTGGATTATGGATGTACACCACTGTACTCAGCTTGTGTGTGTTTTCTAACACAGGCATTTGCTTCAGTGAAACAGCTGCTTGAAACTTGGTGAGCTCTTACCCTGTTGGACCTATTTTGCTATAACTTCTACCTGGTGTACTTTGTTTAAATTTTACTATTTTGAATGCATATACAATATAAGCCAGTGGTGATGGGGCATGCTGGTAATCCCAGCACTCTGGGAGGCTGAGGCAGGAGGATTGCAAGTTTGAGCCCAGCCTGGGCAACTTAGGGACTTAGTGAAAACCTGTCTCAAAATAGAGAATTAAGAAAGAGCTGGGCACACCTGTAATCCCAGCACTTGGGAGGCTGAGGCAGGAAGATCTTGAGTTTGAGGCCAGTGTGAGCTACACAGTGAGTTAGAGGCAAGCCTGAACTACATAGCAAGACTCTGCCTCAAAAAAAAAAAAAAAAAAAAAAAAAAAAAAAAAAAAAAAAAAAGAAAAGAAAAGAAAGAAAGAAAGAAAGAAAATAAATAAGGTCTAGGGATATAGCTCAGTATAAAGGCCTTGGGTTCAATCCCCAATACTGAAAAAAAAAAAAAAAAAAAAACCACAAAAATCTCTGAGTCTGCCCCACATCTGGAGACAAGAGACCCATTTTCCCTGCACACTGTGCAGTTGTTGCAATACTGTGCCTGTGGCAGGAGTCAGCCCTGTGCCAACCTCTCTGCTATGTCCCCTAACATGGATGCCCAGAAGATGCCCACTGTGGGGGTGGGAAGGGCCCAGGCACAGTATATGAGGTCTCAGGACAGTTGGCCTTGGTTGTCGCCTACCTTCTGGAGAAGCAGCAGGCCTGATGGCTCCTGGCTTCACCCTACAGGTGACCTATGGCTCATTCGACTACACCTCGCTGCTGTATCTCTCTGACTACCTAGAGGACTTCGGCGGAGGACGCTTTGTGTTCATGGAGGAAGGCGCCAATAAGACGGTGGAGCCCAGGGCTGGTAGGACACAGAAGCTCAGGGTGGACCAGGCGTGGGCACAGGCAGTGATTGCACACACCCGCATGCATGCACGTGCGGGGCAGGGTTACTCAGAGCGATGCTCTGTTTAGGGAGCACCTCCTGTATATTGGGCTTGGTGCTAAGAGTTTGTCTGGGTCCAGCTGCTGGGGGTGACACCCAGGAATCTGGGGTCTGTGCCACCCATCTGAGGTTGGGGTGGGTCTGCAGCACCACACAAATCAAAGATTAGGTGATGCCTCCAACGTGACGTCAGCACAGTTTGCCGCATGGTACTGGCACCACCACCTGTCTTGTGTGGTGCTATGGGGCCAGCCTCATGGTGGTGGGCTGTGTCCATGGAGATGGAACTGGACCCACTATCCAGATTTGTGGCTGTCTCCCACGGTTGTCCACTCTTCTTGGTGCATGTCCTGCCTGTGCCTGCCCCGAGGCTCCTGGCTGTCATCTCATGCCCGCTGGTTTCCTCTCTGAGACACCGGTAGTGCTGACTGTGCAGAGGCTGATGGGATGCCTGCCTGGACAGTCTCAGCTCCTGCTGATGGGACTATGGTTCAAGGGTCACAGTGGGAGCTTCTAGGCTGAGGAGTAAGCAGACTGTACACCATGTCCTGCTTGGGGTCTCCGGGAGAGATGGGAGCACCTGCTCCTTTTTGTCTCGGTTTTTACAGTGCTAGAATTGAACCAGGGCCTTTGCATTGAGCTACAGCCTCAGTCCCTTTTTTTATTTTTTAATTTTGAGAAAAAGCCTTGCTAAGTCATTAATTTTCCCAGGCTGGATTTGACTCTTGATTTTCCTGCCTGAGCCTTCAAGGGTGCTGGGGTTATAGGCATGTACCACCACACCTGGCAGGTCTCCCATTTTCTTAATTGTGTCTTTTGAAGAGAATAACCTTTAGCTCTTAGTGAAATCTTGCTTACTGGCCTTCTTTTATGGTTCATGCTTTTCAATAATGCCTAATAAGTTGTATCCATCCTAAGATTGTAGAGATTTTTCTCCTGCATATATTTCTAGATTTTATGTTTATGCCATCATTTCATTTTGAAATTATATTGATGTGTGGTGTGAGGCAGGGGTCAGCATTCTCTTGTTGCCTGTGGCAATCATTTGCTGGAGAGACTGTCTCACCTCATCAAGTCAGTCTGGACACCTTTGTCAAAAACCTGAAGAACTGCATGGTTCCAACTCTGCACAATGATTTCTGTCCCAGTGATCAAAGTGTCCTTCTGTGAATACCATGGCATCTCAATTGCTGTAGCCTTATGAAAAGTGTTTGTTTTTCCTTTTCAAAGTTATTTTGGCCGCTAAAATACGCCTTCTTCATTTCCATATGAATATTACTTGCTAATTTCTGTGAAATGCCTGTGGCCGTTTTGTTTTGGATTGTGCAGACACAAAGTAGAATGCCCACATGTCCGATGACCACCACTGGCTTCACAGAGCAGCAGGATCTCATTTATTTGCTCCTCAACATTTGTGTTTTCATTTTGCTACATTTCAGTATCTAAATATGTGATAAACTTTATGCTGTTATTTTGCCATTTTTCTTGAAACGAGTTGTGGTCTCTTATGGTTAACACATTACCACTTCTCATTGCAGTGTTCTCCATTCTGTCCAGCAGGCACCATTTCTCTTCAGCCTTTAGCGACTCCTGTGGTGCAGTTCCTCTAGTGCTGGCAAGGACTTTTTTGAACACTTCCTTATTTTACCTCTTTTTTTGTTTATTTTTAGTGGTGGTGCTGGGGATAGAAATCTTGGTCTCAGGCATGCCAGGCAAGCACTCCATCACTGAACAACAGCACACCCCTCCTCCACCCTTTTAAAAAGAGATCTTTGCACTAGACATTGAATTCTGTGTTAATAGGATTTTCCTTCTCGACACATTAAGACATCATTTCTCGATCCCTACTTCTGATGTTTCTGGAGAGATGTTGCTGTCCTTCACACTCCTCATGCATATTCTCTCCTCTTTCTCTGCTGATTTCAGGGTTTCCTGCCCTCTTTCATGTGACGTGCTAAGGTGGCGCTATCGGTATTTATCCCAAGTGGTGTTTGTTCCTCTTATCCGATGTAAAAGTCAGTTTTCCATCCATCTGGGGAGAGTTTGGGTCATTATTTCTCTCCAAAGCTTTCTCCTGCTCCAAGCTCATCTCTCCCCATTGGAGGCTCCAGTGGTGGGAGCAGGTGGTTTCCTGTTGTCCTGCAGCCCAGGAGGTCCTGACGTCCTCCATCCTTTTTCCCTCTGGCTTCTGGAGCCTCTCCAAGATGGGCAGAAATGCTGCAGGGGTGGTAGAGAGAGAAGCACATCTGTGTCTCCAGCGGGGGAGCAGAGGGAGGGTGGCTTAGGGGGCTGAGGGACCCACACATCCCAGGCCTTTGGGCCCCATCCTACCGTGGTCCCGGTTGCTTATTTCCACATCTCGAGTTAGATTGTAACTGGAAGAAACCGAGGACAGAATGTCCTTGGAAAACACAAGCTCAGAAAGTGTCGTGGCTCCAGGTCATCCTGGGGAAAGTGCTTCCAGCTTCCTCTATATCCAGAGTGACCCTGTCCTGCCCAAGCAGAGGAGCAGAGTCCCTGCTCCCCAGGGTCTGCTGCTGTGGCACAGGATTGTTCTTGCTCTGCTACTTCTGGGCGAAGTGTGATTCTGCTGACCCTGGGGTGCAGTGCACAGCAGAAATAACTGTTGTCCCTTTGCAAAGACTTAGAGTTAAATTGCAGACATAAAGAGAAAAACGGAGTTTCCAGCACTCCTCTTTGCAGGGAAATTGTCCTGAACATTTGGAGCCAGGCCATGTGGCTGGGATGGGACTTCCCATCCCAGAATCTTGTGCTCCTCACTCATGACTTTGTAATGGTTGATTGCAGTACTTTGCAGCAAGCACTTACCTAATAAAATGTGTGGCAGGGTCATTTATACAGGAGAGCAAATGAATGGGATTCTTGGATGGAAGGACTCCCACCCCCAGGGCAATCCATATCCCAGGAGGGGCCTTTCTATCTGTATCTTCCATCTCCACATGAGGGGACTGGCCAGGAGTCTGCATGTGAGTTTGTCTTGACTGACCTTCCTGGGTTGTTAGAACATTGCCTTCATCCTCATCCTCCACAGCTGGGTTTTATTCCTGATGACTGTGATTAGAAACCAGATCCTGACCTGTCGGATCTGGAAGGCTGCAAGGAGTGGAGGGCCTGGTTCCCCCGCACCCCCGAGAGTACTTCCGCTGCTCTTTTCACCAGGGCAGGAGGGAGCTAGAATGCCCCATATCAGCCCCTGCACCTCCAGGGCTGATCTGTCCTGGCACTGCGGGATTGTCCCTGGGCCTGCTGGCTTTGTATGGCAGCAGTTCCACTATAGCAGGTTCCTCCAGGCTGTACCTTGCTGTTGTGGTCCTAATTAGTGCTCTGCTGACATTGGCCAGTGATGGCTGTCATGCTGTCTGAGGGCCTTGGTGGCACGCAGGTGGCCCCTGGGGTCATAGCTCTGTCTCCTTTTTTCTCCAGGTCGGGTTTCCTTCTTCACCTCGGGATCCGAGAACCTGCACCGGGTGGAGAAGGTCCGCTGGGGCACCCGCTACGCCATCACCATTGCCTTCACTTGCAACCCTGACCATGGCATTGAGGACCCGGCCTTCACATAGTCCAGGGGCCAAGTCCTTGCCTGCCGCCGGCCCCCTTGTGGGGGAGCAGCCACATGCAGCCCTGGACCATGCTGAGTGCACCCACCCCTCCCTCTCAGCTCATGTTTCCATTGCACAGAGTGCCTTATGAATTATCACAAATCCTAATTTGCTGGTGTCTTAATCTTTCATCTCTGAGTAAATTAAGGGAGCCACTTTCCACCTCACTGCCCTGTGTGTGCTTGTTCTGTGAGCTGCTCACAATGAGCAACGGCTCCTCCTTCCCCAGGGGAGCCATCCTGGGCCTGCAGAAAGACTCTTGACGGTGAACAGATAGCAGGAGCATCCGCCTTGGCCCGATCCAGATGTAGAAACCACCCGGCCCATCAAAGATGGACCCTAGCGTGGGCAGAGGTCATGGGGCCAGCGAGCACGTAGAGTCAGAGGCACCCATGTGAACGCAGGAGCAGGACTGGTTGCTGCTTGGAGGAGGCTCTGGAGAGAGAGCAGGGGCTCCTCCCAGGGTAGAGGTGGAGATGCAAGTCTGTTACCTGCAGACCTCTGCTTTTGTGCCTGGGAACTGTCCTGCTGCCGCCGTCTCATTGTGCTGGACCCTGCCTGTCACTCCCAGAATCCTACTTGTCCAGCCACCAAAGAGGCTGCTGGTATCCCTGTCCCTGATGCTCGGTCCCATCTTGTCCTGGCTGTGCCTCTGCCTTTCACATTAAAGCAGCAATCAGGAGCCAGGAGTAGACTGACCCTGGGGTGAACCAGGGCCCAAGGAGCACATCTTTCACCCAACTCACAGCCTGTGAGGCTGTGATCCTGGATTTGGGCACCTTTCCCAGGAGAAGTGCTGGCCACATGCTGCGTGCAGGGGAGATGTGCCAGAAACACCCCCGGGGAGCTGGACTCCCTATCACCCTGACCCTGGCTGCCTGGGAGGAGTGGCTGGAACACCCTACCTCTGGCCACCCAACTTGGCTCTTGGCCACATCCCCAAAGTATGTGCCTGATGCTGGAGGAGGCTGTTACCTCAGCTCTGCAGCACCGCCTCCCCGCAAGTCGCCAGGGCCAGGGTTTTGAGGATCGTGTGGCTCTGGAGCTGTGCTAGGCTTATAAAGCAGTGGAGCATTCTTGGACCTGGTGTACTAGGTCAGAGCTGAGGGCCCAGTCTACTGTGCGGGTTCTGACCCCCTTGCTTTGGCATGTGGGGCAGCCTGAACTGCTCTTAGTTCTAGCACATTCTATTCTTGCTCTGGGAAGTGCTTTGGTATGGGCAGGTGGTCAGAGCCCTTCTCGATAGGTGGGACACGAGCACTGGGTTGGCTGTCCCCTAACTTTCCTGAGTGGTATTGTGGTTTTGAAAGAGGACATTGATGGCTCTGGAGGGTGAGGGTCCAGCTGTGGCTGTTGCGTGGGGCTGTCTGTGCAGGGCTGGCTGCTTCAGGGCTGTCGAGTCAGGCCAGTGGGTCCCAGGTCTCCTTGCACTTGGATTGTTCTTGGCTTTCTAATGTCATGGTCGGGACAAGCATGCTGGATCTCTGCTGCCTGCATCTCCTCCACGGCCACAGCCCTGTGTCCAGGACACACTGACCTCTGCTGCCCATGGGCCCACTGCCTTCTTGCCGGATAGGGTCTGGCCTGCTTTGCCCAGCTCAGTGGTGGCTCAAGCTGGCCTGGCCTAGTGGGAAGAGCAGGAGTTGGGTAGGGACAGGCCATGGGGCTAGCCAAGCCTCTTGAGTTTTCTAAAAAGGCTGCTCCACCACTGATAGATGCTGAGTTTCTACCTCCATGGCTGGGGCTGGAGTGGGGGTTCTGCGGCTTAGAGGAAGGTGACCCCTAGTCCCTGTGACTAGGGAGGCCATTGGAGGAGGATAGCCATGTCTGAGCAATCCTCACGTGGGTAGCCACAGTGAGGTGACTGACTGACATGACTCTAGCCCATTTTCTGTGAGCCTATCTGGTCCCCCCTCCCAGGTGCCCTCCCAGGACAGGACCAGAGGCAAAGCCAGGCCAGCGGTTTTCCTTTCTGTAGACTTCGTGCATGGCCCATGGGAGCTACTTTTGGGACAATGTTGAGGCCTCCTGTTCTTTTAATTCTGAAGTTGTTTTGTTTTAAGCTCCCACTCCCCAACATGTCACCTGGAAGCCAGGGAACCAGAGCCTGAGAGGCTCACCCACAAACACCTGTGGCGTTGAGTGTCCATCTGGTTTCCCTTCACAATGGAGATGCATTTCTTCAGGAGGAGCCAGGGGCCATAGGCACAGCATGGGTGAGGCTGTTCCCAAGGTCACAGGATTGCCTGCTGCCTGCCAGAGGGCTGGCTGTGGCCCACCTGTCCAGATGGGGACAGGGACCAGGGCACTGCTGCTCATCTGGAGCCCTGGCCAAGGACCTACAACATCAGCAGCTCAAGTCCCTCCCACCAGCAAGCCTCCAGGGACAGTGCAGGGAAAGCTCACCTATCTGGTGAGCAGGGACCCCTCAAGCCAGGTGTGGGCAGGCTCTCAGGCAGGCTCTCAGGCAGGCTTTCTCCCTGACCTGTCCCACATCATGCTGTTTGGGTTCCATTTGTGGCATTTCTCACACCTTGTCCTCAACAGAGCTCTGGGGCAGTATGGGCAGTGCCCTCCACAGCCCCGCCCCATGGCCTCTGTCCAGCCTCTGCCCAGCCTCCCTGCCAGGGCCCACCTTTTAGACCAGCAATGGCGAACCTTTCAGAGACCAAGCACCCAAATCACAACCCAAACCCACTTATTTATCGTAAAATGCCAATACTGCAATGTTAAACCTGATGCTCGCCTGCTGGGCGACTTGGCTTGCCTGGTGACAGAGAGGGCTCTGTGTGCCCACTTCAGCACGTGTGCCATAGGTTCGCCACCACCGTCTTGGACCTTCTCACCCCCAGCCAGGTGGTGAGGGGAGGGGCAGCCCAGTGGGCACAACTAGAGCTTGTCCCCAGACTCCTTCACTTCACCAACAGATCACTTTGAGAATAATCTGGGGGAACATCAACAGAGTTCCATGCAGTCAGATGACCATTTAGAAATACGACTTAAGACCAAGCAGAGGGGAGGGCTGCACACTGCCCACCCCTGGCATGGAAGACCCTGGAGCCCAGACAGAGGGCTGGCAGCCAATTGCAGTGTTTGTGATAAATATCAGATTTTCCCTTCTCAGAATCGCTGCGTTTCTATGGCCGCTCCTGGGCTCACTTTGCTTGACCCAGGTTCCTCCCAGAGGGCATCCTTGACTCTTTATTGTCCCAGTGAGTCTCCACCGTGCAGAGAGCTCCCTCTTCCATTGCTCTTTGCTCAGGCAGATCTGGGCCCCTTTCCTGAGGTCCTTTCTTCCTGTCTGCTCCCAGTCCTGGCCAGCAGAGAGCAGCGGCGCACACCAGCGGCTCCTCCAAGGCCCTGAGTCCTGCTCACCTTAGGGGGCTCTTGCCCTGCCTGCCAGCCTGCTGCCCCCTAGGAAGGTAGGAGAGGGTCTGTGGCCAGAGCCTCCATGGAGGGCAGTGCACCCTGACCTCAGCCCTGCCTAGCTCTCCTTCCTCCTTCACCCCTTTGAGGCCTATAAGGCTGAAACAGTGCTGGGGAACTCAAGGCCAACTCCCCATTGGGGGCCACTGTGGAGTGCCTCTCACTGCAGTGTTGAAAGGACACAGCCACCAAAGTGAGCTAGACACAGTGGCACATACCTTAATCACAACTACACAGGAGGCTGAGGCAGGAGGACCAGCCTGGCTAAGCCACTGTCTCAAAGTAAAAGTATAAAAGGGGCTGGGGATGTAACTCAGTGGTAGAGTGGTTGAGGCCCTGCCTTCCATTCCCATTGCTGAAAACAAGGCAGATGGCTGGGGGTAGGGGTGGTCAGGACAGCTAGGGAGGGAAGCCAGTTTACACCAAAGGAGTCTGTACGCCAGGGGCTCCTGGACCAGGCCTCCTCCTGGGACCTGTGGCCACTCCACACTGCCTACCCGCCCCCTCTGTCCCAGCCCCTTAGCGCAGGCCTGCTTTGGCCCTCCTCACCCTGCAAGATGCCCCTTTACTTGTGGGGTCTGAGAGGAAGTCACGTGGGGCAGGGTCTACCTTGGCTCCAATCCCCATGCCTGGTCTGGCCCATGGGGCTGTCATGGGGAACGCCCCTGTTACCATGGTCCTGGCCAGTGTTTGTGTTCCAGGCACGTGTCTCCTCCTGCAGGCCCTCATCTAGAGAAGAGTGGTGGTACAGGGCAGTCAGCACTGATGCCAGTGTACCCAGCCGCACTGGGCAGCCTGATGCCCCAGGTTCTACACTAACACACAGTTCTGGGCAGACTCAGGCTCTGCACTCCTAATTGTGCTGTGGGGCTGCATGGTCAGCCTGGGAGACGTGGCATCCACCCCATTGCCAAGACACCGGTGATCCGAAGTCAAATCCCAGCCAAGCCAGAGCCACCTGGAAACAGCCTGCTTACTGGCCAGGAATGTGAGGGCGCCTGCTGGACTGATCATCCCCAGCTGAGGACACGTTTGTTCACACACGCACGTGCTCGCTTGTTCACCCACTGGGTGCCAGGCCCTCTGCCGTCCTGTTTTTCTGGTGACCTGAGGCACCTGAGTGGGGGATTTAGGACAGAGGGTGTGCCCTGTGGCCTGCCTTGCACCCTCTCTCGAGGCAGGTGGGCATCCAGTCCAGCCAGTCCCCAGGCTGCTCTGCTGTGTAAGGTCTGCCTGGGAGCATTGTGAGCCTGGCACAGCCAAGGCCTCCTCCGCCCGAGAACCTCCATCATCCAGCCCCCCTTCTAACCCATAGATCAAAGCCCAGCTTCCCAAACCGTGGGCTTCTAGCTCAGTGTCTCACAAAGGAATTCTCCATGGCCTTCTATGAAATGAAATTTCTAGCTGGGCATGGTAGTGCCCACCTGTAATCCCAGTACTCAGGAGGCTGAGGCAGGAGGATCCCAAGTTTGAGCCCAGCCTGAGGAATTTAGAGACTTAGTAAGACCCTGTCTCAAAACAGAAAAAGGGCAGGGGCTGTTGCTCAGTGCAAAGGCCTTATGTTCAATTCCCAGTTAGCAAGAGGAGAAAGAAAAACATTCCTTTCCCCAAGTGCACAATAAATT